GAAGAGAATAATTACAAGGTTAAAGGAAATGGTAAACAAATATCTTACAAAGTAACTTTTTATTTAAGAAGCATCACATAATTAATGAATTAAATTAAAAAAAAAAAAATTCTCTCACACACACACACACACACACACACACACACACACACACACACACGAGGTAGACTAAGTGGTCATCTTCAAATCATTGTTGAGTTTCAGGTCATTGCCAAATAGTCTCAAGTCGAGTCTCAAGGCACGAGGAATACTTCCAAGTTGAGTCTCTTTTGTGATAGTCATGTCACTTAATGTATCGTCAATTGCAAGTCGCGTATTGAACAAGACACATTGATGAAAATACAAAACTGGAATTGGCAGTTCGGAAAAAACAACTATAAAAATAAAAATCCTAACCTGCACAGTCAGTGGTGACAGCACTAGCCTGCAACCGTAAATAGTCATACTCACTCCTCCCCCTAAACCCCCTGTCTACGCCACCCTAAAAAATATAGTAGATACAGACATTAGTAACCAGTTTTAAGACAGCATTAAACATTTCTGTCTGCTCGTGAAACATGCCTGTCTTAATTTTGTACCATAATTATCTCAACATTTGATATCACTCCAGTGTTCCCTCGCTGTGAAGCAATGCATTGCTGGAAGCCTCTAGCGGATCTGTGATGGGTTCTGGGATGTGTACCTGTTTGGTTCTCATCTGTGAAGTGTTAATCCTGCAGACTTGAATCCTGAAAAGAACAACTACCTACAGGCTTGAATCCTGAAAAAGAACAACTACCTACAGGCTTGAATCCTGAAAAAGAACAACTACCTACAGGCTTGAATCCTGAAAAAACTACCTACAGGCTTGAATCCTGAAAATGAACAACTACCTACAGGCTTGAATCCTGAAAAAGAACAACTACCTACATGCTTGAATCCTGAAAAAGAACAACTACCTACAGGCTTGAATCCTGAAAAAGAACAACTACCTACAGGCTTGAATCCTGAAAAAGAACTACGTACGCTATCCCGTTATTTCAAAAGACTGATCCATCCATTTATGAAAAACAAAACAAAGAATCGATCACGTTTAACCTACTGCGAGCAGTATCGGTTATAATTATGGTCTGGTTTTTGTGTGCCACTTATGTTGATTAAAAAATGTTAAGTGCAAGAAAACAGTGATTTGGAGCGGTACTCTAGTACCTAATGAGGGTTGCTGGGAAGAGAGCTGGTGTGCAGTATAAACATCCACACATTCATATATAGACATACATGTACAATTACACATATATGCAAAACATACAGTTCTGCACGCCCAAGTGGGAATGCACGTATACGTGTTTACATACACACATATGTATATATATATCAACACGCGCGCACGCCCAAGGTAAGAAGGTATATTTATATACATTTCTATAGATATAGTACATAAGGTCAGCTTCTGTGGCTTAGGCTCTGTACTGCCGGTGTTCGATCCCAGCTGCAGGCGATTTGGCAACAGACCGCCTGCATGGGTTCCGATAGTGGTATCAAGAGCCGACTGCTGAGAAAGCAATGGCAAACTAGAGAATGATAATTTGCTTTAAAAAATCACAAATAATATTGGTGCGGTTAGTTTAGAAAAGTTTTGTAAGTGATACGCAATTAGATAACAGTATATAAATGCATGCATAATATTTAACAAATTAATGTTATTGGTATACTTTATGCGTAACATTAATACGTTTGTGAGACAAACTTCTACTACACAGCACCCATACACTAGTGTGTATGTACACATCTTTACACTGCAGTCGACACACTAATGAATCGAGACACACCTTCCCACTGCAGTCGACACATTAATGAATCGAGACACACCTTCACACTGCAGTCGACACACTAATATATCGCGACACACCTTCACACTGCAGTCGACACATTAATGAATCGAGACACACCTTCACACTGCAGTCGACACATTAATGAATCGAGACACACTTTCACACTGCAGCCGACACACGAATGAGTCGCAACACACCTTCACACTTCAGTAGAAACACTCATGTGTCGCGACACACCTTCACACTACAGCCGACACACTTGAGTCCTGACACAGATCGGAAGACTTTGGTATAGAGTACTGTTCAAAACATCTGGCCTTTTCAAATATCTCTTCTTTTTCAGAATTTCCAGCCCGTAAGAGGCGTTGCTGTTGTGTCGATTTCTACGCAGTTGTTGGTCTCTATTCTATCTGCTATTCTCTGTATATTCTCCAACCATTGCCGTCTGATATCCATCGATTTGTTTGTGATGCAAGAAGTGCATTGTTGCTTCTCATTCTCCCTCTACTGTTGTATTAGAACACTGCTCACAGTAGATTGCCACTAACTCTGTTATTTAGTTTTGGTGACATTTTTAACAAACTCCGGAGGCATCTGGTCGAAGTGGAAGTAGGCGTTGCCCCAAGTGGCGGTGGCCAGGAGCAGGATGGGAACAGTGACCAAGCTTAGGAAGAGTCCACTTATCATCTGTGAGAGAGACATCGGTAGATGGTTGGGTACTTTATTTTTATTTTCATTGTTTGGTTGAATTAAAAACAAAGTACCAACGATTGTAATTTTATATCATGATTGGGTAAACCTTACGCAAATTTCCCTAAACAGCGTTAGTGTCGCCTATTTAAACATTAGGTCACTTTTGACTGGTAGTTGCTGACCCTCGTCACCTTTGCAGAAGGTTACGGAGGTGTTCCGCGATACCGTTGATATTGCGTGTTGTATAATTCAGCACACCAGCGTTTTTAACGCTCCAAAAACATGGAGCACTGGCCCTAACCTAACTCCTCTGTGAGAGTGCTGCAACCTATGTCACAGGCATTTTCGTTCTCTGAATCAAAATATAAACGGAAGACAACACAGAAAGCAAACATTAGAGCTGGACACACCCGGAACCTTCAGCAAAGTTGACTAGGCTAACCAACTATGAATAAAAACTGACCTAGTTCGTAAATGCACGGGGCTAACTCTGTTTGGGAAGATTTGCGTAAAGTTTATCCATGATTAAAAATTAGACGTGATGAAATGCGATGGCAGAATTAATAGGAAAGTCCTGACCTACATAAATAATTAGATATAGGACCAAACTGATGAGGGCTAATGATTGGTCAGTGCAAGGAGAACCTGACATAACTAGTGCACGTGACTGTGTACATTTTGGGAGGAATCCCCTGTGTGTACGCTTGGCTGCCAGGTCGACACAGTTTGTGTGGGAACCAGGAAAAAGTCATGGGAAGTAACAGTGGCCAGCGTAATGCTGACCAAATCACCACGTTTTGATGCCGTCTGTTTGGCAACTGCCATAGAGTGGTCTTCACAGTCATGGTCGACACTGAATCCCCAAACCAGTGGTAGCGCTCCGTGGCCCTTAGACACCGACGGTTGCCTAACCCACGACCGGCTCCAGCTGACGGGTCGTGCTGCTAACGCCACCGGCGTCGGGCGAACGATGCGTTAACGCAGCGGTTCCCAAACTGGCTGTCGAGGTATCCCTGGGGTGCCGTGAGCGTATGCCAGGGGCGCCGCGGCAATAATTAGGACACGTCGGCTAAAAATTGTGAAATTATTAAAGAAGGCATGTAGATACTTCAAAAATACAATTTAAGTTGTCTTCCCTCGCCACTGTCGAAAAAAAAGTTAATTTCTGGTTTGAAAACCGCTGCGTTAACGCATCGTTAGCCCGACCTGGTGACGTCAGCAGCACGGCCCGTCAGCTGGAGCCGGTCATGCCTAACCACAGGTTACTTTTTCAGACATCACATTCACATGCTTGAGGACGAACATCGTCACCTTCAACCAGCACCCCCAAAGTGGGAGCTTTAGGTTATAATTGTGACTAGATTATGTGCGACATATAAAATGGCTTAACATTGCACGCCACCAAAAGCCCTGAAAAGCACTCCTACAGTGTTGATTCGATCAAAGGAAACGGACCCAAATACTAACCCGACCGGCGACGAAGTCGTCTACCGGCCAGTCAGTGTGCGACACGGTCGCCGACGATCTCTTTCGATACATGGTTGCCAATTTTATTCTTTGGAGATAGAGGAGATAATGTAGTATGTTGTCAATAAAATACACCTACCATATCTACGACTCTGACATTGCCATGGGCGAAGACAATGGCGTTTGGAGGCGTTCCTGCTGGCAACATGAAGGCGAAGGATGTGGTAATGGCTCCAGGAAACATCAGAAACAACGGGTTTAGTTGGAGACTTATGGCCTGTAAAGAGAACACAAAATCTGTCAATGGCTTCAAGGAATTGTTGAACAAACCAAAATCGGTTTAACTTTGTTACTGCCAGACAAAAATGTCACGGAACTGTCATAATAAAATCTAAACTGTCTGGAACTGTCACGATAGGATCTAAATTGTCTAGAACTGTCATGATAAGATCTAAACTGTCTGGAGCTGTCACGATAGGATATAAACTTGTCTAGAACCGTCATAATAAGATCTAAACTGTCTGGAACTGTCATGACAGATCCACACTGTTTGGAACTGTTATGATTAGATCTGCACTACTTGGAACTGTCATGACAGATCCACACTGTTTAGAACTGTCATGATAAGATCTGCGCTGTCTAGAACAGTCACGGCAGATCCACACTGTTTGGAACTGTCGTGATAAGATCTGCACTGTCTGAAACTGTCACGGCAGATCCACAATGTTTGGAGCTGTCATGATAAGATCTGCACTGTCTGGAACTGTCAAAACTGATCCACGCTGTTTGGAACTGTCATGATAAGATCTGCCCTGTCTGGAACTGTCATAATAAGATTTGCACTGTCTAGAACTGTCACGACAGACTCACACTGTTTGGAACTGTTATGATAAGATCTACACTGTCTAAAACTGTCATGATATGATCTGCACTGTCTGGAACCGTCACGACAGATCCACACTGTTTGGAACTGTCATGATAAGATCTACACTGTCTCTAACTGTCATGACAAGATCTACACTCTCTAGA